TTAGTTAGGGGCCAGCTGAGGACCACCTCCGGGTGCGGAATTTTCTCGCTGCATTGAAGACCCATTGGTGGCCTTCGGCTGTTGTCTGCTCTTTGGTCGGGTTGTTGTCTCTTTGACATATTCCCCATTTCCATTCTCAATTTAATAGTAGAGAGTGTTATTGAAATTTACTATTAGATGACTTTAAAGCTGAAGACGATGGGATAGTAATTTTTGCGACTATCATACAAGTGAGAGGTTTAGCTAGCTATAAAACCAGGTTTAATCCACCATTTTCTACATAAGAAAATGCATGTATCAAGTCAGGAATATGACAGTTGTTATCGATTCGTTTGATGTGTTTGAGCTTTTGATTTTGCCATTTGATTAGGGACTTTCCGTTTTGAATTTTCCTCGGAGTTCAGTATTTTTGTGATTTTACTTTTTATGAAGATTCCTTTTATGCTTGCATGACAAAAGTGTGTATAGCTTTGAATATAGTTTACTTTGGCACAAATATCGATTTTGTCATCAGCAAATTAAAACATAACTAAATTTGTATTCTTTTCAAACGGTGTTTGGGATGTATAAATACACATCCACGTTCATTTTCTATATAGAGATTACTCTATCTATATATAACATTATACATATTTATTAAAAGGTTAACTCCTAACTATGTTACTGCCTGTCGATACTTTTACTTTGGCATTGCACAAGCCATGTCTTCTTTGACTGTCCATGACGTTAAAACACTAAATCCTTGGGATGTGTTATTTAATTAGTTGATTTTAGTCTGTGATGCATTTATTGTTTTTGGCTTTTAACTAGCTTTCTGTAACTGACAGTACGCTCAAATCGTACTTTCGTGTTAATTTGACCTGTTGATACAAGTTGTATATACGTGTTCAGTATGACGATAAATTTTCACTTTTGTTCTCGTACTATGAATAACAAAATTATCTATTTTGTATTAAAAAATATTTCCGTACTCCATGTATACTTTACAACAAAATTATTTTAATCTACCTGTGTACGTTATTTTATTTTGCGGCATTTTGTCCAAGGTTATGGTTGTCTTTCTGATATTGGTTTACATCTAACCCCCTTGTTTTTATTAATTTTGTATTTACATTGTGTCGTAGATCATGTAGATCAAATTTATTCGTTCAATGTATGTTCACTTGTTTTAATATGTCTTTTGATTGAGTTAAGCCATTTCAATTGATATTTCATAGTGTGTCTTTCTATGTTGTGATGTTACACTATTGTTTCAGGGTAGGGTGAAGGTTGGCACCTATTAAAACGTTTCAACCCGCTGCATTTGTTTGCACGTGCTCTAAGTCAGGAACCTGATGTTCAGTGGTTGTTGTTTGTTGATGTGGTTCAAAAGTGTTTCTTGTTTCTCATTTTTTATATAGATTAGACAGTTGGTTTTCCTGTTTGAACTGTTTCACACTATTCATTTTTGGGGCCCTGTATAGCTTGCTGCTGGTGTGAGCTAAGGCTCTATTTTGAAGGCCGTACTTTGACCTATAACGGTTGACTTTTACAAATTGTGACTTGGATGGAGAGTTGTCTCATCGGCACTCATACCACATCTTCTTATATCTATATAAGATCAGATATGAACTATGTCACATTACAAGAAGGGGTGGAGATGGATTTAGAGGAGGCATTTGCAACCAATGTTGACCGTTTACACTCGAGAGGAAAGAGGAAGCGAAAATCTCGATCTGACACTGCCTTCATGTTTTACTGATTTAGTGATAATTACTTTTAAGTAACATGCCTATCTCAACAATAACTTTTTACGTATCCAATCATTCCACTGACGTTACAAACGCTTAATTATATATTGGTTATTCCAAAGACATGTAGATTTAGATTTAAAGGCCTCTGGTTAATTCTGAATGATTAACTTTTTCTGTGAAAAAGCCAACATCCTTACTACAACACATACAACATGTATTTACGAATGTTGTATACAAAAATGGGTTTGGGAATGAATTAATGATTTTTTGGGATATTTCCAAATAGTTTTAGGGATACGGGATATTTATAAAAAATATTTATTGGGATATTAGGGGTAAATATTATAGGGATATGGGATATTGGGACAAAAACTTAAAGGGATATGGGATATTGATACCCCCCCTAAACAAGCCTCACTAATAATATTGAATGCTGGTATTCATCCATACATTACATTTTTAAAAAGCTGAATATTCATAATTTGGAGGTAAAGCTTAACTTTTTTTATCAAGTCAGTTAAGCAAAAACTGTGTAATAGTTTTGTAAAATTTTGGAACACAAAAAGAACAGTAAATTACAAAGAGTAGTAAATTAGATAGTACTTATTTCAAACTAAAAACTTGTTTTTCTAAAGAAATGTATATATCTTTAAACAATTTTAAGTGCCATATATAAAATCAGAATCAGTGCCCATGATCTCAAAATAGAAAGAGACCGGTATAAAACTTTATATATAGAAGACATTCTGGAGATGTAAAGAAGAGACCAATAAAACACGCCTCATGGTTAAATAAAATAGTTAAAAATAGAAAAGGGGATTTACATGACCCATATAAAACGTATCAATAATAACGGACAATCGTTATAATGGCTACAAAACTGACTTATGCTAATGGCAGGGGTATTGCAGAAATAATAAGGATGGTATTGGCAGCAGCAGGGTTAGAGGTATTTTACAGACAGACGCAATTAAATTATCGACTTTTGTAAAGTAAACACACTCCCGATGTCGTTTGTGTATCGTAGTACACACTTGTATTTACACCTCGATGTACAGGTATATAATTTTGTAAAGCAAACAAATTGTACAATGAAATAGTGTCCCCACCCCCAGCGCAAAATTTCATGTTTATCTATTTTTATACTTTTCACCCGTCTATGTAATAATGTTCAGAGAAGGATAATATTCCATATGAATTTTTTTTCTATAAAAGGGAGGATACCCAAAATTATATTTTGTCTAGGCCTACAGATTGAGGCAATTAATTTATTTCCTGGATTGATAGTCTTAAAATTTTGATTCATATAATATAATATATGAAATATTTGCCTTACAAAATTTTTTCAGTTATAATTTTCTCAGATAATTCTAAAATATGAATGCTTGTGTACTGAAGATTGGAATTATTTGATGCAATATTTCACGGTTATATACATACTTTTCATGTATATATTTAAATATTCTAGAAACACTCTTACAATTTCATGGCGGAGGAGACCTCCGAGATGACATAATTTGATTAGGAAAAATTTTCATGGACAGTATTTTACAAAACAATATTGTCAAGGACAGTATTTCACAGTGAAATATTGTCTCGGCTAATTGGAAAAAATTTCACAGTGTATGACACTATTTCATAATCAAATATTATCAGAGGCTGTATTTCACATTATTTCAATACAAGTTAAAATGACTTCTCTTGTTCCGGCAATAAAACCCTTGCTAAATTGGGATGCATACATTCGTAGCCACGTCCGATTAGAATGTGGACCTTATTATACCAGTCCGATGCCTCGTGTCGGATGAACGCCACAAACACATCTGTTGTTTAAAAAGCAAAGCTTTTTTTCTGGTAATGCTGAGATGGGTCGAGTTAATGGTCAGGCATGGTTGTTATTGCGCTCAGTTTCTTGTGTGACTGTTATTACTTCATACATGAATAAGCTTGATAGGGACGTATTTTGCATCTCGACTTTCTGTGAATTCTGTTAATTCTAGGAGGAATTTACATCTCCAAGATATGGCTTTAAAAATAATAGTACTAAAAATAAATTTATAACTCTTTCAACATTAGGACGAAATATGTTTGGTAGAAAATATTTTATTAATGTCAGGTTGTTCGAAAAAATCGGCTTTAAAGTATTTACCATTAGGTCAACAAGGCCAGAGTTTCTACATCATTTGTTCAAGATGTAAAACAAGACGAGGGAAATAAGACCCATTCTTAATTTGAAAATCTTTAATGTTTATCTACAAAAAAGAATTTTAAGATGGAAACATTAAGCTAAATAACACAGGCACTGAAACCAGGATAATGGTTATAATACATAGACCTACAAAGATGCATTTTACAGATACCAGTCTTCATTCTATTCAGGATTTTCATTACTAGTTATAAGCCATGCCATTAGGATTGGGGTTGCCCAATTTTTTTTTTTTTTACAAAAGTAATGGCTGCAGCGGAAACGATTTGCGAAGTCAGCCGGTCATATCTGCATGTGCCTGGACGATTGGCCTTGAGAAAAACATGTTAGAAGATTGTGTTTCAAGCAGTCAATCTGCTTGTAGATTTTGGATGGCCTAATTTTTATGATTCCGAGTACTTCAAACTCACCCGAGTCACTAATACTTGGTTGCAACAGAGAAACAATATTTTCAGTGACGTCCCCCTTCAATGTCGTTCTCATTCTCTGGTTGTTTGGACGAATGTGTCTCAGTGGGGATAGGGGACTCTATTTAACAAATTGTTTGTCTATAGTCAGTGGACAAAGAAGTTCATACTTCAGCATGTCAATTTGCTAGAGATAAAATCAGTGTTAAATGTTCTGATTATATTTTCAGCTTCATCTTCGAGATAAGTGAGTTTCGATTAATTTTTAAATTTTCAACAGGCAACGGGGCACCAAGTAAGAGAAACTGTGTGTTCTATTGTTAGACATGCTTCAGTCACATGATTCAGATTGATGCATGTCACATACCGTAGAAAAAGAACTGTCCTGTAGACTGATGTTCTCGGGAGAGAGTGCCATTAAACTCTCAACGCTTCAATGTTGAGGGAAATATTTCCTACTGGGGTTTCCCAGCATAGACCTTTTTAAAACTCCTTACATCAAGACGTTGACGATGTGTTGCAACCTTATTCAGATCATCAGGATATGGCATGCGATGCTCTCTCAATTGTGTGGAAAACATGTTCACATGCCTTCCTCCCACCAACTACATGTAGCTTTTCATAGAAATTCTTTTTTACTATTTATATTTTCAGTACACCGAGGAATATCTTACCAGCAAAGAACAATGGGAGGAGTTAAAAAAGAGTAAGGATTACTTAGTTTTAATTATGTCTAAGGACTTAGGACATTAATTTTCAGGGTTTCTTTAATTCCCAGCTGTACAACGTATATTAGAATACTTGTTTTATTGTTGCTCACTTCAGAAATTAACTTTTTGTATTAAATGAACCGGAACATAAAGTTTCCTATTAAACCTCTTATATTGTAGGAACCTCTCCAGTGATTGTCGCTCCTTAGTTATATCTTTCTGTTTTTTTGTTCTTGTTTGTTAATCATGGCAGATCGAGATTTCATCGTCTGTGTTACATTACTCATTACTTTTCTACATTCATGCAATATAGAACTTTAGTTGAGTTGGTCCTGTTCATTACCGACAGTATATGTTCACATCTAGATGTTTTTGTGATGTTGGGTTGTTGTCATATTGATTTAAACTTTGCCATCATTTCAAATCAACCTCAAACTTCTTTATTTCAAATATGTTTTAACAGTTTTTTCAAGAAGAACGTATAGTAAACAGGGCTACCATTCCTTGTTGAAATATGTTTTTTGTCTTCAATTAAACACATACAGTAGAAAAATAATGATATATTGAAGAAAATACATATTACAGGTGGTAAATTATTGTACAACCAAGTACCGTTACTGGAGATAGATGGTTTAGAATTGGTACAGACTGGAGCTATTGTTAGATACCTAGCTAAGAAATACAACATGTATGGTTCAAACGAACTGGAGGCTGTCAAGTAAGTATAGTCTGTCTCGATCTCGACAAGTGTCGGGAGAGCCAAGAGTTAGGTATACATTACTGCAACACTTAAATAAGATTTCTTATACTATTAAAACATTAGGAAAGTGAAATGCTTGAATCCAAATGACGTGGATGTAGGCCCATTCTGCTGTATACAATTAAAGTTATTATAATAATAGACTATTGATAATTAACATGGGCTTGATAGAGCGATGTCCTCATTTCTGTATTCTTATAGTCCATTTTTCTCTGTTCTTTATATTGCCGTGTTTGTCCATTTTTCTCTATTCTGTTAATCCATCCTGATCATCTAACATACTGTGGCATTAGTATTTATGAAACCTAGTAGCTACCGGAATATAACGCATAAGCCTTAATATCCAGTGAATGGGATATTTATTCATTGTTTGATGAACGGATATTTTTTAAGTTGGATTCAATTACATTTTCGTCGCAGGATACACCGAGAATAAACTCATCTCTCGTTGAAGGTCCTAGCTATTTTATATTATGTGATCCTATTTACGAAAAACAATTAAGTTTCTGTTATAGTGTGATATAATGAAGAGCTCAATATCTTATTTCCTTCTTTAAAGATAATAGAAATAAGAAGATGTGGTGTGAGTGCCAATGAGACAACTCACCAGCCTTGGCTCACACCGAACAGCAAGCTATAGTGTGCCCCAAAATGACTAGTGTAAAACAATTCAAACAGGAAAACCAACGGTCTATATAAATCTATATAAAAAACGAGAAACACTTATGAACCACATCAACAAACAAAACTACTGAACAACAGGCTCCTGACTTAGGACAGGTGCAAACAAATGCAGCGGATTGAAACGTTTTAACAGGCGCCAACCTTCACCCTAATAGCACTTATCTACAATTATAACTATTGATTTTACCTTACATGACCATGGAAAATCCCTTTAATGGACCAAGTGTCTCAGATCTTTGTAATTAAGGCGAACATACCTCCATCTAACTCCAATTCTGACATATACCAAGCAATAAATATTGTTATTATAACACCTCCTTCTACAATTGCATTTACTATATGTAACTTCAAACCTATTTAAATCACATTATAATTGCTGAAAATTGTTTGAATGTCATCTGACGGTATTCGTGTTTCAAACAGTGCTAGGACAAACACTCTTCCCTTCATGACATTGGTCAGCTAATCATGATATGGTTTCACTTTGTTGATCGACATCAGCGTATCGACTTTTAAATACTACACACGTTTTATATGAATAAGAATATTGTTTTTATTTCTGTGTATACCGAAGTTGCTCGATAATCTCAGTATAACCGAAGGTCTATTGCAGCGTTAAATTTTGTAGAAGTTAACGACACTTTAACATTGTGTTTTTAACGTACATGTTGATATAATTACATTAGATGTATGTTTCATTATAATACGTTATTCTGATTGGCTAACTGCAATCTCGCGTTAATTATTCCTTAATCAACTTCATTACTCAATGAAATTTATCATTCATGATGACACGAGGTCCCACAATAAAGTGCACAGGTAAATTAAATAAAAACTTGATAAAAATCGTGTTTTCATGATCCTAGCTAAAAAATGTAATTATAAGTATCGAATGCTTCTTTTTGTAACTTCATAGGGTTGTAAAAGCGTTGACCGTGCGCACATTTTTAGAATGAAGAGCTTCCGCGTTTCATAAAAAATGTACTTCGGTCAACGCTTTTACGCCCCAATGAAGTTACAAAAAGAAGCATTCAATTCTTAAATGAGCAACAGGTTTAACCATGCGTTAAATTTTAACGATGCGTTATCATATTTCAACCACAGCATTAGACTTAACGACAAGTTGAACAACCGGGTCAAATCAACATTAATAATATAAATCGGAATAGTTAGTCATATGTTGTTTCATTTGTAATGTGGTTGTCATTTTGCAACTACCATTTTATCATAATGACCTACCTACTTCGTAGCAACAATACACATCACTTGTGTCTTGTTCGCTTTTTTCGTTTGTCATGTTTGTTGAACGGTTATTCTCTACATACTTCCATCTTGCTTCAGCTGAAAGATAACCTTCCACTCGTGACCGATTCGTTGAATGGCACACATTAACAAATGACTGTAACAAGAAAACAGTTTATAATAATTGGTTGCAGTTGGATGAGCGGCGGTTCGGTAAAAGAAGTCTTTTCCGCGTATCAAACACGTAAGGATGTAAAATAAATACTTGCATATTTCGATCAGCATACACCTTTTATACGTATCAGCAGAAACAATTAGTGTATATCAATCTGACAAAAAAAAATGATAATCGAAAATAATCGGATGTGTAAATCTATTTGTAATCAATTTAAATTTTCATTTTAATATATTTATCATTATTTTTCCAAAAATTTAAGAATGAAAAAATAATGTTGAGGTTTGTATTAAACTTCATTTGTAGTTTATAACAGGCGTTTGGGTACAAGCTTTGGATATGGTTCGCACTGAAAATTCAATTTTCGATTATATACCACAAACATTTAATAAAAAAATATAACTTTTATGATTGTCTTACCTGGTTTTGTGTTAACTAATCAACTCCTGAAATAATCCATTATTTTACTTTCCATTTTACCAACAACGAGATGATAAATTCACAAAAAAAACGTAAAAGAAACACAGCAGGGTTAAGTATGTTGCAAGGTATAAAATCGTATCATAGGTAGTCTCTGTAAAGCATGGTTCAAATCAATTTACTGCATCTACCTTTAATGGACGGCCGCAAAACTATCATTTATGTCCAAAAAACTATGATGGTATATGTTTATTAGGGTTCCTGCATACTATTGTAACGCATTCATTGACAAAAAGTAGCTATACCGCTTTAAGATATGTTGGTTGTCTTCTGCCATCTTGGATTGTAAAATAGCAGAAATAATCGGTCTAGATCTTGAATGATATACGCAAATGTTGAGACAGAATTGAATTCATTTCAAAGACTTCCTTCAAAATGAAAAAAAAAATAAAGTGAATTGCTAGTATTTTTAATATTAGGACTTGTTTTTTTTTTCATGTGATTTAATTTTTTACATTACTCTTATAATGGTGGAGTTAATTCAGATTTTGATTAAGGAATGCATAGTTAGTTTACAACTTTTGTTTTGTAGCAAGAAAACTAGCACGGTGACCAACATTTTTATTATTTTATTTTCTAAAAGCACGTTTTAAGGGATATTTTCTTATATTTTGTATTTAAATTATATCATTTGGTTTGTTCCAATTTATAATCTTTACAAAATCTAACAATTGTACACCATCTGTACCTTGAAAAACCCATACTTTTTATTGTTTTTTTTTTTTTTTTTTTTTTTAGAAAAATGATATAACCTAGAACATGGCAAATTATTGATCAATTCTATTGGTTTTTTTTTAATAAATGCAGACTCCAATCTACATTTTGTACCATAACTATTATTATTTATATGGTTTGTTCGGGAGAAGTATATTGTAGAATACGATAAAGTAACCTTCAATACGTGCGAATAAAAGTATAAGTATACAGAAAAACGAAAATAGTTAATTGAATCATTGGTGTGTTACACTTATAGTAAGCTTTCGCAGGGTGAACGAGTCCAAACATTTAAACTAATTTCTAAAAATAAATGTGTGTGACTGGTATTGTAATCACGTTCGTCTGGAATTACAAGGAGTTTAAAATGTACGCTTATCATTTTTTGATTAAATATATTAGTTATCGGCTAGATATAGAAATGTACTAGTGTATTTATTCACTAGTTAAAATAGAATATTGATGGCAGCGGTGGAGGGCATCGACGGTAAACAGTCAATGACTGGTGAATTGGATTTAATGAGAATAGACAAACATGGCGAAAATGTAAATGAACAACATGAAAATGGAAATACCGCGCTTCATTTGGCAATTTCAAGTAATGCCGATGTAGGAATATTAAGATCCATAATGAATAAGGGTGCTCAAGTGAATATCACAAACAATGATGGACATACACCTCTTGAATGTCTTCAACACGGATCATGGAAAACAGCGCTGAGTTTGTTAAAGTTAGAGAAACAATTTGATTTTCGAGACGACAATGGTGGAACGTTTCTACATTCTTTGATGGATAGATTAGGAGATAACATTTGGGGTATTGTAAGAAACAGATGATATTGAGGTTGGACATATCGGACATATTGAACAGGATGAGCTTATCGGTCTATTCTGAGAAGGTATTCTGAGCGAAATTCAGGAATATCAAATTGATTTGAATCTTCAGGATAACTTTGGAAATACGCCGTTGCATATCGCTGCTAATTTCTGGCCTTCTTCAAAAAACTTGGATGTAATGCTGACTCATTTCGACAATATCGATCCATTTATTCGTGATTGCAGTGGCAACTCATTTCTTCACGTTTATTTGACAAGACACAGTGTCCATGATGGGACCGAATTCGACAAACGTCTTTTCCAGGGTGAATATCGCAACCTCTCAAAGCACAGGATGGAAAAATTACTTAACACTCAAAATAATGAAATGGAATCACCATTGCATGTTTTTGTTAAAACTCAGGACAACAACGTGAATTTATCCAATTTGAAGCGATTAATCGAAGCAGGTTCAAGTGTTAACCTTAGAAACATACTGGGAGAAACAGTACTTCATTGTATATTCCGAAGGGAATTTGACGTAGATTATGATAATGCTGACGTCAGTAGTAACTTCGACTTATACGAAGATTCAAGCATTGAAAAAAAGATTGAGAATATCCAAGAAAACTGCAGGTTTCTTGTTTCCAGAGGTTCTGATATCAATCAGCAAAACAATAAGGGAGAATCTCCCATCTTTCTCGCTAATTCAGAAAGTGTTATTGGTACTATGATAGATATTGGTGCTGATGTTAATATTACAAATAGTCTAGGACAATCGTTGTTAATTTCAGTTGTGAATAAGCACGATGTAAATTTGGATATTATCCGACTTTTGTTAATCAAA